CAATATTTAGCGATATAACTGAAATGCTTTGTTCTGAAACCCACAGTTAATGGGCCAGCACGGAAATTGGAGAATTTGTAGTCAGTAAAATGTTATCAAAGTTGCAGTTATACTTTTATCTCACTTTGATATCCATGAATAAGTTAATCTTCGAGTTATTTCATATCGAAGTAATATACTTTTGCAGTTATGGCAACTATGTGCAGTGGAACTGTCTTACACAACATGGGTTTAAATTATAAAGAAGACTGACACACATTTCATGAGGACAGGAAAAAAGTAACTGTAAACATAGATGTATATTTCGTGCTGTGCCGCTGAACATTTAGTATGTGATATTTTTAATGAGTTCACCATGGTGATACATAGTTGCTCAAGATCAACATATATCAGTTACTTCATTATTTAGTTTGGATCCAACCAGTCCATGAAGCTATTGTTTGTTTTGCGCATATCTGGGATATGTCTATTTGATAATTTCTTACATATAATTAATAAAAAAACACTGAAAAATAATACAATGTCTTATATATATATAAATGCATAATGCTACATTAAAAGTATGTTTAAAGGACATGAATGCCCCTGCTATTCATTAATGTGTAGATATTGTGATAGTGTATGTTATAATGATAATGATATACATTCAATAATAGTTCAATCTTAGCAAATAAAAAATGCCCAAAAACCTTCACTCAAGAAAAGAGGAACTATGAAACTTTAGATTTTTATAGTTGTGGGTGGGTGCTTCATGCTCGGGGTGATGTGAAGCGATGGTGTGGTAGCCTAGATAGTGTTAAGTGCTTGCATGCCTTCTCGCTTACAGCTGCCACCGCTGGCTAGCCTGGTGCAACTATGCATAAGACTCCCCTGCCAGCTCATAGCCTCTCCATCATCAAGACTTCTGCAGTGCCTCCTCGTGGCCACCCATGGAAACTAGGTACCTTGCGGTCCTTGGCTGAACTGTAGAGGCTCTTGGAGCTGCAGAAGGCCCTAAAGGTACGGAGTCATGGCCCACCGGCATGTGGACACGCCCTGACTTCGTACTAACTCCTGCCCCCATGCCCCCATGCCCCCTGGGGTTAATAAGGCGGCTGTGGGGAGGCAGGCCTTGTCAGTCTGCCCCCTGAGAGAACCATATTGGTACCAAATCATTTAGTCATGGTGCTGGGGGGAAGGCAAAAGTCCCTCCCACCCAGCAAGTAAGGCAGGCTGTGGGTTCCTCTGGGTTGGCGACCGGTGTAGTGGCACGCCATTCTCGCCCTTATACCCACGCCTCATTTTCCCCCTTGTTTGTCGCCGATGCTAACGCCGTACGAATCTTCGTCTGATTTGACACGGAACTGTTTTATGCGGCTGAGGAACTTGTAGGAATCTTACATTCTTTGACATTATCATGAACCGACACGTGTTAGTGTTTTGTGATGTGTCTGAAATAAACTGCGTGGATCAGCGACGAGCCAGCTATCAACCCCCAGCCTGTTTGCCCATCCACCTGTCGTCGCGGTGGTTCGCGTCAGCTGAGGTTGGCGTGCAGGGGGGTCGCAGGAAGGCAGATAGCAGGTAGCGACGACCGGAGCTCTGCCACCTGGCTCCACGCAGCTTTCGTCGCCTGGCGGGTATTTCTTGGCTGAGGCAGTGCTATCTCCAACGTCCGCACCACATCGCCAACACTGTCAGGTTACGTATAGTGCCGCTTCGTGACCTTACTGTGCTCACCTGTGGAGTTTTGTCTTTGTGCCCCAGTGACTGTGCCGTGTAGTGACCGCTGCTGCTACGTGTATTGACTTGCGATGCTTTTAATGTGACAGTTCTTTTACGTATTTTATATTTTTTTGTGTGTGTTTTATATTTCTTGTGTGTGTTTTATGTTTCTTGTTTGCATTTTATGTTTCCTGTTTGTGTTTTATGTTTCTTGTTGGTGTTTTATGTTTTTCTTGTTCGTATCTTATATTTCCTGTTTGTGTTTTATAGCTATAATATAATCGAAATCTATCACCTATGAGTATTCGTTCCGTCAATGCCATCTTTCACCTGGCCGAATTACTGAGACAAAGATAATGCATAAGATACTATTTTCTGTCCTCTTAAATCATAACTGAAACCCAAGATGTTGTATGCCCGGGCAACAAAGTAATTATGACGAACGCCCGTATTGCTCATCCCTTGCCTTGCCGCTCATGCCACTAAAGCTACCATATTTTCCCTTAAACACAGCTGTAGCCATCCGCTACACCGGTGGGACTCGGGTGGGGGGCGGGGGTTACCTGTCACCCCATCAGGGTCCCAGCGGCCGCCAGCCTGGCGTGAAGCTTGTGGGGGAAAGCCCCCGGGATCCCTGCAGGCAGATAATGGGACCTGCAGCCAGCCAACCTTGTCTATCTGGGGCGGCGTCGGTAGGGGTGGCAGAGGTGGCATCTACCCGGAGTGACTGCCCGAGGTTAGACCTCAGAAGGGGCTGTTCGGGTGGGGGCGTGGAACGTCCATTCCTTGCGACAGG